GAGCGTGATAGGCCAATCAGGGGTCTGCAGCGGGAAGGGGGATTAGCAGAAATTATACCCAGCCCCTGGGAGGAAGTTTTAGTTTGATTTCAAAAGTAAAACAGAATGTTCACTTCTGTAATTCGTGGCACTGCATGTATTTATTTTATTTTATTTTATTTCCATTGCATTTATATACCGCCCATGACCCCTAATGGGTTTCAGAGCGGTTTACAGTGTACTGCTACTAGTATAATCGCAGTAATTAACCTACCTAGGGCCACAGATTTTTAGGGGGGGGGGACTTCCCTACCGACACCCTTGTTGGCGGCGCGTTCTCTCTTCTTCATTCGTAACTCCTTCATCTCACAGAAACCAGCAATATGAGATAACCATTAATACAGTGAAAACCATGCACTAAAAAGCCTAAGTAGAAAAACTTCCGCAAACATTAACACTTCAAAAAGCTTATAGAACATATTCTATATAAAAATGTTATTCTGAAGTGTTCCAGTTTGGTGTAGTGGTTAGGAGCACGGACTCGAATCTGGGAGAACCGGGTTTGTTTCCCCACTCCTCCACTTGCACCTGCTGATGTGACCTTGGGTCAGTCGCAAGCTCTGGCACAGCTGTCCTTGAAAAAGAGCAGTTTGTGTCAGAGTTCTCTCAGCCCCACCCACCTCACAGGCTGTCTGTTGTGGGGAGGGGAAGGGAAAGGAGTTTGTAAGCCGCTCTGAGACTCCAAGTGAAGGGCGGGGTATAAATCCAATCTCTTCTTCTTCCCTTTTGCATTTTCTGCAGACCAATAGTAGTGTGGGAACATTATGTGTGTAAAATGGGGTTTGCGTATGTGACAAAGTGGCTCTTGTGTGTGACAGGCTCCAGAACATGAACAGTCTGGTGTCACGCAGAGCATGGGATGCCAGAATTAGGCTGGAGGGACAAAGTTTCAGATGTTTTATTAGTCTCGTTTCTATCCCGTCTTTCTTGCATCACGGAACTTGATGTGGTTCCATTCAGGGCCCCTGCAAGTTCTCCCAGCTTCTCTTGAGTTTTGCCAAAGTTGCTGTCTTGTGGACCCTTCGATCCAGACCTGGAGCTGCTCACTGCCTCTCAGCCAAGCCTGCTTCTGAGGATAAATGAGGATAGTCCCCCAAGCAGTGTTCCCTCTCAGCTGAGTTAGTGTGAGCTAGCTCACAGTTTTTTAGCCTCCAGCTCACACATTTTTGACTTAGCTCAGGAAGGATGGGGTTCCAGAGCAAACTATTTTATGCAGCAGCCAAATCGATCGCTCACAACTTTAATGCTCACAAAGTAGAATTTTTGCTCACAAGACTCCACAGTTTAGAGGGAGCATTGCCCACCAGTGCCTTAAAGTACGGGTGGGGCATCAACACAGTCATTAAAATGAGTGTCCCACCAGGGTGTCCTCAGCCCTCGTCTGGGGTTGCCCATTGCAGAAGAGGATGATCCTTTATGGTGGGCAGGCTGCTGGCTGGGGAAGCGTGTCTTCCATTGCTCATCTGCTGCGGCTCAGTGATAAAGCATCTGCTTGGCATGCAGAAGGTCCCAGATCGAATCCCCAGCCTCTCTAGCCAAAGGACCAGGTGTGGAAGGCCCCAGCCTGAAACCCTTGAGAGCCGCGGCCAGCCTGAGTAGACTATACTGACTTAGATGGACCAAGGCTCTGATTCCGTACAAGGCAGCTTCATGTATTCACTGAGAACTAAGGGACGGAGGGGATCTGGGTTCTAATGTCCACTCGGCGATGAAGCTGGTTGGCTAATTGTGGTTAAGCAAGTTACTATTTCTTAGAGCCCAGCTAGACAGGGCAGCATCCCTAAGTTCACCATGGGGACAGCTCCATCATTTTAAGGATGAGATACCCTCTGTTTACAAAAGTCTCAGGGGCCCAATTCTGATTGGGACTGAAGTGTGTGGTGGGGGAGGAAGTACCTGTCCCCCCCAGGCTTCACAAGTGCAACCCCCAAGGGGGGAACTCTTGAAAATGGCACGGGGGGACAGGCATCCCTTCTTATTCCCGCAGTGTGGTCCCGAAAGTACATACTTGAAGGAGTATGTACTCCACCACAAAAATCTGTGTACCTGCTAACTGTGAGAATTGTTCCTTCCGAGACCTGAATTCTGATGATACTTGAAATTAGCCTTTGAGAACTGAAAATATCAGTATAAATCTATTACCAAAGACAACGTAGTCCACCTTCTTTGTTGAAACAAAAGATATATCCAGAATCCTCGTTATTTATTTGGACTTGTTTTCTTGGACTTCATTTTCATATGCTTGGGCTTTATTTCTGTGTATTCTAACATCGTTGGACTGTATTGGCACAGACTTATGTATTTTTGTATTTTTTCCCCTTGTATTTTTCATAATAATCACAGAGACTGTAATTATCTTTATTAGTGTCTTTTCTCACAGATTTACTTTTTCGTGTTCCTGATCAGGATTGGCCTCCCACGGCTTTTGTAAAGGAGAATCCCAATCCTAAAATGGCAGGGGCAACACAATGACCTCGAAGGTGCCCTCGTGCCTCCTCAGGCTTTCAGCTTATCCTACTTCAAAGGGGTATTCTGTGGATAGAATGGGTGGAAAGCTCATGAGTTCCAGCCCGGAGGAAATATGGAATTCTAATTTGACAAATGGACACCTTTGGAAAGGGATGCCCTATTCCCTTTTCACCCCTCGGGAATTAAGGCCAAGAATAGCTTTTTGGCTTCAACAGCCCAAGGGAAACCGACCCGAAATGAGAATAAAGAATTCAGTTCTTCACATGATTGGTGGCCGTAGTGAACACCAGCATATTTAGGCGACTGGGCTTCTAAGTATTATATACTACCTTTTGTTCTCTCTTCATAGGAACAATACATTTTTATTCACCAGTGTGTGCAATTAATGTGGCTGAAGAAGAAGCAGCAGTTCTGCATCAGCGACGTTATATACGAGAATGTCAGCAAGTCGTAACTCCAAGTCACGGGCGGTAAGTTTGGGAAACCTTCCCTGGCAGCGATGCTGGAACTGATGATGCTCATACGGTAGCAGCTGCCGGCATAAATATGAATGCTCTGAGCTTTTTCTTTATTGCTGCGTGCCTGATAGCTGTGCCAACACACTATATTTCCCCCACCACTCTTTTATTTTTATTTTCCAACACAAAAAACATACAAAACACACAAACAATGATCAGGAGTACCTTCCGGTAGTGCTTACGATTTTCTTTTTATACATCAGTCGTTTTTGCACCTACGCTACTACTTCGTATACGTGTACATAGCAATTAAAGTTTCTATTTCGATCACTGTTTTTATATATACTCTTTGGTGGTTATAGCAATTATCACTTAAGGTACCACTCTGTCCATTTATAAAGTCTTAACCATGCTTTCTCAAAGATATCTTCACTCTTGCCTTGTAATAGCAGTGTCAATTTGTCCATCTCAGCCGTTTCTAAGAGCTTGTAGATTATGTCTTCTTTCACCAACACACTATAGATCATGCTAATGTGTAGAAGCCGCGTTGCGCACACGGACGGGGGCTCTGGGTCTGCCAAGGCTGCGTGCTCCAAGTCCAATTAGAATGGTCTGCGGTTCTGGAGGAGAAACCTGGCTGCCCTTCTCCAATTCTCACTCCCCGCCATTTCATTTCCAGCTGTTCATTTTCTCACTGCGGTCCTTACAGGCAGCTCCAGCAGTTACATGAGTGTGTGGCTGGATCAGGGCCAATTCATTTAATTTTCAAAGCCAAAACCCACGCTCAACCGATCCTGCAGAGTCTGCTCTTTCATGGAGCCGGGAGGGGGAAAAATGGATTAATTAAGGTGACCACTCCAGACTTAATCATTCTTTTCTTCTTGGGATAATTAAAAACTGCTGGGGGCTCCAGGGTCCCATTATGTAGCCAAAGATCATACCGGTGGGCCCAGGGATCTAGAAACCGCTTGCACTTTCCACAGCACGAGCTGGTCCCTTGCTATTAAAAGTAAAGTTTAACTTCGAGCCAGATTAAGACCAATTTTGCAGGCTTAAATGAGCCCCCGGACTCAGACTTGGCTCACGTGTGCCAAGCGTGTGAGTTGTTAGCTAGGAAGCCTGCCCCTCCCCAGATCGTTATGGTGGCGGGGGACAAGAGGAAGCAAGGGCCCCCCTCCCAGGCCAGTCTAGGAGCAGAGCCGATAACAGCCGGTGGGGAGGGGGTTATGGCTAGGGCTGCCAACCTCCAGGGGGCACTTGGAGGTTTCCCGCTATTACAGCTGGTCTCCGGGCAACGGAGATCAGTTCCCCTGGAGAAAATGGCTGGTTTGGAGGGTGGACTCTTTAGCATCTTTAGTCCCTCCCCAAACCCCACCCTTCCCCCGTCTTCACCCCCCAAATCAACAGGTATTTCCCACCCTAGAGCTGGCAACCCTAATTTATGGTTGCTCCCACCTCACAGTTCTTCCCACATACAGGCCTGATGGAACTACAAGTCTCACATTCCCTCCTTCATCGGCGCATGGTCAGCCACTTAATTATTTCTGCTTGTTTGCCATGATGTATGTGGGGGGGGCATTCAAGCTGAAGGATCTCCCCCAGGTAGGGTTGCCATTCCCTAGTTGGGGTGGGGGATCCTCCAGTTTTGCAGGCTCCGGGTCACCACCGGCCAGCTGGCCGCTGGGAGGAAATACCCTCCCCCCAAACAGCAACATCGCTGGAAATAAACGTGACATGCCTACGTCACCCGGAAGGCACATTGGGGGCGACACTCTGGGTTTTGGGTAAACCTCTATAGTTTAAGGCTGATTTTACCATAGAGTTTTGCCCCAAAACTCAGAACATCGCCCATGACATCACCAACGGGCCTATGTCACATCCGGGTGATGTAGGCATGTTGTGCAATGTCACTTCCTGCTCCCAGACCGTCCCCCCCATCCCCCCCGCTGGCGTTTCCAACAGACCTGGCAACCCTACCCCTAGGCTTGCGCACCTGATTCACAAACCAGGGTTTGTTGTTATGTATGAAATGTGTTCAGGACTTACAATAGACGTCTCAGTGTTGTTTACTAAAATTGATGTTCAGCTACTGCATTGGTTTGTTAGGCATGATCATTCGTAATCAAATGGGTTACGGGGAATAGTGATGACTGAGGTCTAGAGCTCTAGCTACATGGGAGCAAGGTGGCAAATTCCCTGAGAACGGTGACTTTGTTCACCTTGTTTATACGCCACTTTCCTCCACAACATGGAGGAAGAAAGGGAAAATGTCAGGGGCCTGTGAGCCTGGGGCCATTTGCTTACACCCAGGGCTATTTTTGGGCAGGAACGCACAGGAACGGAGTTCCGGCTGGCTCCTGAGCTGGCCATGCCCAGCAGGAACTCATTAACATAATAGGCCACAGCTAACAGCAGAAACTCATTAGGATTGGCCTAACATGCAAAGGAGTTCCTGCTACAAAAAAGCCCAGGGCTTTGACAGCAAAGTAAACAGAATGAGAAGCAAAAGGTGGGTGTGGCTGGATGACCACACTTCTGGCAACACGGGGTGTGTGGCCTAATATGCTAATGAGCTGTGCTGTCAGGGGTGTGGCCTAATAGGCTAATGAGTTTCTGCTGTTGGGTGTGGCCTGTTATGCTAATGAGTTCCTGCTGGGCTTTTTCTACAAAAAAAGCCCTGCTTACACCTGCCCACCTACTCGTGGTGACAACAGTGATGGCCGCTCCATCTGCCAGCGGTGGCTCCTCACACCCACCCTGTCCACGGCTCAGGCAGCTGGTTTGCAGCAGTGCCAATTCCAACACATTTCATATAAGCTAAGGGTAGCCCTTGTTTTGGGGTTGGGGTAGCCACAAGATATGGGGGGGCAGTGATTCTGGGGCTCATCCCGGGCTTTTGCCAGGGTCCCAGAATCCCTAAGACCACTCCTCCTTTGAGCACTTTAAGCTAATGCTAGTTCTCGGCAGCCCAGGCCAGTCCGATCTCAATAGATCTCAGAAGCTGAGCAGGGCTGGGCCTGGTCAGTACTTGGATGGGAGACCCCCAAGGAATACCAGGGTCGTGATGCAGAGGCAGGAAGCGGCAACACCTTGAAAACTCTAAGGGGATCACCATAAGTCGACTGCAACTTGATGGCAAAACAACAACAACAACAAAAAATTCTTATTATAGTTCCCTGGAAGAGGCTGATGTGCAGGTGAAAGGACATTTATTGCTTGAGGTCCCTTCTGCTCTGGAGCGTAGGGAATAAAAATCAAGAATGGACCTTCCTTTTCCCAAGGAGGAGTCACTTTATTTATTTATCTGTTATCTTAAGCTGCCATTAGGGGTCTTGAAAAGGTGCCTCTGTTTTAGTGTTTGGCAACAGGAGGTGGAGCCCCATGTGCAAATTTATGCTAACCATTGAAATGCCAGCCTTGACCTGGATAACCCGGGCTAGCTAGAATTCATCAGACCTCAGAAGTTAAGCAGAGTCAGCCCTGGCTAGTATTTGCAGGGGTCGTTTCGTAGAAAAAGAGCTAGAGGAACTCATTAGCATATGCCACACCCCCTATAAGGCCACACCCCCTGACATCACCGGAAATGTGTCATAAGGCAATACGGCTGGAAGCAGGGGGTGGGGCTTCGTCATGTGCCCCCTGTACCTCACCCAGGGGAACTGCGATCCCCCGCGATCCCCCCGAAATGACCTCTGAGTATTTGGATGGGCGACCTCCAAGGAATACCAGGGTCAGGACACAGAGCCAGACAATGGCAAACCACCTCTGAACCTCTCTTGACTTGAAAACCCCACTGGGGGGTGGCAATAAAGACTTGATCTCCTTTTCCACCACCATCATTGAAAGGCCAACGATTGTTAATTCAGTAAAAATCCTTTTGTCAGTTGACATTCCTATTAATAACTACTGGTTGATGGTAAATTGTTAAAACAAGGCACTTCTTTTCTCCCTCCCCTTCTTCTTTACAGGCTAGAAAATGATGAGAGACATCCATCTTCCCTTGCTTCAGATTTTTATTCACTCTTGAGGTGTTTTCCCCCCCCACCCTTTGTTAATTGATCTCTGGTACGTGGACTTTTTTTTGGTACGTTGACAAATTAAAGACCCCCCCCCCCATTTGGAAGCTCTGGGAAGATGTCGCCTTAAGGAACCTGCAGTGTCTTCTTTGGACAATCCATTTGCTGTACTTTTTTTTACAAAAACCAGTTACATTGGGCTGAATTCAACTCAAGTGACGTTGAAAGGAACAATGTGATATTGTGCAGAAACACACAGATAGCTGGGGTTTTTTTTTTTCCTTTCCAGATTTCTCTTTCATTTTTGTAACGTGCAGGTTGGGCTTAAAGGTTGCGGAAAGTGCAATATTCCAGGTCGAATTTGAATTCAGAGGCGTTTTCTCAATGTCCCGTGGCCTTCCAGCGAGGGCTGCAGAGGCGGCCGAGGGTACGGGCGAGGTAGTGATGGGGACCTCATTCGCATGCAGCATGGCCCAAGAAGGACGTCGTGGAAGAGGACATTGGGGCACACTGACTTTGTTGTCTGTACGTTGGAGGGGGAGCCGACAGAGCCCTCTGGCATGGAGCACCGAAGAGACTCTTTCTCCACCCAGGCCTAACTGGCTCAAAGCTAGAAGAGGAAGCAGGGTTGGCTCAAACTGAACAATCAGATCCAGCTTTCAAAGGGTGACTGGTGGCAAATATTCATTGAGGGTTGAGGAGCTCAGGAATCGAGAGGAGAAGTGTCCATTTGCCTGTTCGACCAGCCTTTGTGGAGGGGGGGGGAATTCAGTGGAACCGTGAAGACTCCATGGGCCAACTGATGACCACGTTGGGGATGAACCTGCTCCAAGCTCCACTGCTGTATCATTAAGTTATCCAAACCAGTCTTTGGTGTCTATATGGCTCCGTCCATTTGCTTCGTTTTCTTCCTTTCTGTGTATTTCACCCTGTGTTATGCGATGCTTGTCAATATTGTGGGGGGAAGGAGAT